GGCAGGGAAGTAAGGGAAGCGGCAGGGGAAGGGCAGCAGCGGCAGGTGTAGGGGGAAAGTGGCAACAGGAGGGAGCACAGGGCCAAGGTGGTCAAGGCCAGTGGCAGCACGAGGCAGCTGGGAACTGTGTGCTGCCAGCAGGTGCCCGGTGGCTCTGTGCCGTGCTGCGCGGTTCTTGGCTGCAACTCCAGGACTGCAGAATGCAGCAGGAGCCAGCCTGGCCTCCGCAGTTCCCAGCTGGCTCCTGTTGCCTTCTCTATTGCAGGGTCCACATGCCTGCAGCTCTCGTCCTGGAGCCAGCTGCCTTCCCTGCCACACAGGTCCCCAGACTCTGCCAGGAGTAGGGGGGGGGCCTGCCCACCACTTCCCTGTGGAGTGTAGCACAGGGCTTCCCCAGTGTGGGAGCTGCAGGCATGTGGCGTGGAGTTCCTGTGATAAAGGCAGCCGGGCAGGCTGGGCCTCTCAGCCCCTGCACACAGCACGGGCCAGAGCCATGGGGTGCCAGTGCTTGCACCTGGCATGAGATCTTTGAGCCCCTCCGCCTGCTGCTGGCAGTGGGGGCTGTGCACCATGTGGTGGGGGGGGCCGGGTGTGTCACGTTCCTCCCACCCCACTAACCTCACACACCCACACCCGGCCCCCACAACCCCCCACATATGTATACAGCCCAACATACCTTATGTCCCCCCACACCCCACCATACACAGACACAATATAAAAGAGTGAGAGTTTGAGTTATTATGCAATCCCTTCTATACACAGTACACAAACACAAATCATGACAAATTTTTTTTGTAATAAAATTAAAATATGTTTTAGTAGGTGTTTGACTTCTAGTGTACAATTTGTTGTTTTTTTCTGGTTCTCAGATGGCAACCCCACCCTCCCTAAAGGAGTATTTCTGTGGGGGTGAGGGGAGGGATGTCCGGTGGCAAAGGTCAGGGGCTAGGGTTTGGGACTTCCAGTCCTAATATGGTGACCAGAGGGCGGGGCAAGATGGCCCATATCGACAGTTCACTAAAACTTGTTAAGCAGCCCTTCAGCCAAAATAATTGCCTGCCCCTACTGTAGCCCTCTAGGGAGACAACAGTACAAGCTCCTGGTCTTTCATAGCCGTCTTGTCCCGCATTAAGTCTGTGTATGTTCCCATTGTTGTGGGTAGACAGCAAGACGGTGTTATCTTAAGGATGTCCCTGCCTACTATAGAGGTTGCATAGTTCATGCATTACAATTCCAACATTTTTTTTTGTACAGCTTACAGTATGTGTGTAATTCACTGGCATTTTATAATTTTAAACAAATTACAACTGTTTTATTTAGCAACTATAGTGCTTAATATGGCTAGTTTTGCCTCCTGTATTTGAGCCTAAAGCTGCCTAATATTATTCAAGTTCTTGTGATTTAAGTTTTATTCCTAAATGAACTTTACCTTACCTAATAATAGACTTATTTGTAGTTATTGATGTAAGTCTGTAACTGCAGCCATTAAATCCTTCTTGACATAGATATTTGCATGTGAATGGTGTTAACAAGGTTTTCAAGGTTTTGAAAATGTTTGGCTGACTTTTGGACCTTGGAACAAATTAGGTTTGATTCCGAGCCATTTTCAACCCCAGTTTACAAAGGATTATTTACAAAACCTTCAAATTTACTGCTTGCAAGGTCCCATATTTTTCACTCCCTAGCAGAGAACCTTGCAGAAAGCAGGACTGAAGATTTAGTCAACGCACAGAATAAAATCAGAGGAAGGGGTGTTCAATTTCATTTTTAAGGCCTGGTATGTCAGTGACTTAAATGAGACAAGGATTTGTCCTTTAACAACTATGTGAGTAGATTCATCCAAATGTATCCTATAAAAGCCTTTTTATCATGAATCTCTAAAGATTAAATTCTTAACATTTCAGTTGTGCCAGTATGGCCATATACAAGACTTTGTTTCTAGCAGTGGAAGTTATCCAACATTAGATGCTGCATCTCCCCTCTTCTCCCCGTGCCTTCTCCAGACCAGAGTAACCCCAAATGACTCCAGTCTCTGGAAGGCATGGGGACATTTCCCTGCAGCTCAATTCCTCTTGGTCCCCAGGACTTCTACTGGGTTGGAGTTATTTTTTCTCCCAGAACTGCCATTTTTGATTCAGGAAGAACAGCATGAACATTTGTACACTTGTGACTTCCAATAGGAGAATGGTGATTTCCCCTTGTATGTGGCCTATAGCTTGTATCTAGCCTTTCCTGTTTCAGCATTATACTCCTCTGATTAGTGCAGTATCTTCCCAATTGGCTTTTTTCTATCCACAGAATGCTGCCACTAAATAAGTCTATCAATTTAATCACATAATTCCCCACTTTCTGAATCTCTTCATTGACTTTTTTATTCAAGAAAACACTAGATTCAAGTTTCTTGTGACCACTTCAAACTCTGCGGAACTCTGCTTTTCCTTCTTCCCTGCTTTCCTTGTTTTCCCTTTACTCTGTCACTGTTTCTAAACTTGTCCACACTAGTCATACACTTAAACTGCCACCTCTGTGGCTCTTTCCTGGACTCCTGCTCATCTCTGAGTCCCTTACTTTGTCAACATTTAGCCCCTTTTTAAAACAGTTTTGCCTTTCTGCCTAGAGTGGCTGGCTTGTATATAAATAGTAGATAATGTCTGTTGTTGCCCTTCCCCTTACTTCTGTGTCCCCATCTGTCCTTGAAACAAAAACTGTTCTTAAGCTTTTGGAAAGGATAGCAGAAATAAAGTATAATGAAAAGTTTTTAAATATGATGTAGTAAATGGAGTTTGCAGTATTCATCCTGGAAAATATTGGATTTAATAAGATTTTTTTTTTTAAGGTAACGTGTATTTTTGATTACTTTATCTTGTTCTTCTATTTCAATAGACAACTAAATTTACAAGTGCTTTGGATATACCAGTAGAATTTATAGAAAAGAATGTGAAACTACGGGGAAGATTACGTCACATAACAGAGAAGGGATTAGAAGTTGAACATATTCCAATCAGCCTTCCTTTCATGTCCTCGTTACAGAGAAAATGTAAGTAAAAGAACAGGATTAACAATGACAAAATTACACGTCTGCCTATTTAATAGAATTTTCTTCATTAAGCTGTCAAAAGTCTGTAAAACTTGAGCTGTTTGATCTGTTAAAAACGTTTTTGTGAATGACGTGTCCTTGGAAACAGCTGGGTATATACTACCTGGAAGCATTTTGTCCTCACAGTTACAGTTCGCCAATTGTCATGCTGAACTTAGGAACTGAGCATCTGAATGCTCTCTGTCCCTCACTTGGTGTGTTGCAGTGGCTACCTTACTTCTCCTCTTTGCTTTGGCCTCACTGCCAGGATAATGAGGTGGATTTATAAATCCACCTCTGTGGACATTTTAGGCATTTATGTGGACCCGTACAAGCTACCACCCTAAGCAGTGGATCTCCCTCCTCCTCAGCAATATATTAAGTAGCAGGGAAATACATATCTGTATAAAATCAAGAGCATGCATAAAGGACATGCATGGGTGTTTGTGGGGTAATGGCCTGAGTTTTTTAAATGCATATCTTGGAAACAGTGATCATTTTTAAAAGAACAATGGAAATTGAATAAGGATTGAAAAAAGCATTGAGAAATTCATGTGTATATTATGAAGTTTGGCTCTGATCTTGCCTCTGCTGAAAGTCCTTTAGGGTTAACTTCAGTGGTATGCAGGTGTTATAAAGATAGTATACCCTCTGGTTTAACATGAAACATTTAAACAATACAATTGGTATGGGAATGGTTGCTACTGAAAATCTTGATGTACTGCAAGTTTCAAAGCAGACGTGGGCATTTAGGACTAGGATTTACAAAGTAGTCTTAAAAGCCTAAGTGAGTTAACACAGAAAATCTATTGATTATTACATAAAGAAAATGAGAACATCCACTATTTCAACAGATAGGATTAAAAATAGCTTATATGAGAGATCCTGAACCTATAAACATGTATGTTAGCTAATTTCTAACTGAAGGGGTTCAGAAACAACTTACTGTATGGATTGTTTTTGCCTCCAGCTGAAGTGCTTGCTAGAATCTACTACTGGAGAAAGGATAGTGGCCTAGATAGGCCACTGATCTGATCCCATGTGAGAGGTCCTATATTCATAACTTCTCTGATTCCTGGGATGTTGCATAATGCCAGTGGATCGCAGATCAATGCATTTTGTTTTGAAGATTACAACTTAATAAAAAGGCCTCTTTGATATATTTATTGATGAATAAGAAAATCAGAAAGATCAAGCTGCACTGGTAACTTATGCTTCTCTATGCTGGGGAATTTATTTTTACATATAATTTAAATGGTATTATCTTTGCTGCATAAATCTTGCTGTAACCAGTTCTGCAGTTAGTTTTAAAGATGTTATCAGAGGTCTGGATTTGGAATGTTTTGATATTGTTATGTTGGGATAAATGTCAAGAAAAATACTTTGGATTTTGATCTTGTGTCAGTCTTTTGCTTGTGTGATGCAATATACTGTAATGGAGTGAGACAGAGGTGAGAGGGGGCAAAATCAGATTTTTTAGAAAGTTATATTTTCTAAAGAAAATTCTGAGATTAAGTGTTACAATATAATATCTGAGAACCTTTCTTTTCTTGGTGTGGAGTACATCTATGTGCTAGGATATGTTCTTAAAATTCCATAGCTTTTCTGACTAATGTGGAAACTCAATTTTAATCGGAGGAGGTAGACTAAGCTGATTCACAACAGCTGAGAAGCCGACGAAGTATAAGGAAGTGTCTTTTGTATATAAATGTATAAGACTAATGCTAAGGAAGAATTAATGTTATATTTATTCAGGGCAATCAAATGGCCTTTTGCTGGTCAGACTTGCAGGAGTGGAACTGACGCCAAGTGGTATGGTCTGGTTGCAAGAAGAGTTAAAACCGTCACAAATGATGTGGTTTCAGCTTCTTGGACGGGATAATTTGGTGCTTGATTGCCTTGTTTCAATTAATAAGGTAAATGAAGTAGTAAGGAGGAATAGAGGAAGTTCTTAAATCGTGTATTTATACTTCTAAGGTTTTCTATTATTATGGTGTGAAATTACGTGTCCTTGTCATAAGGTTACTGCATTAAAAAAATATACATGCTGGAATTTATGGTAGTAAGTATCTTTCCAGATATACATATGTAGCTAGAATTGAAAATATGTATTTCTGAACTGAATTGACAATACTAGTGTAGTTTTTAGTCACCTTTAATAATTATCTTTGCTGCTAAGGTTTGCAGGAGCCAGATCTGTAGTTTAGTGCCCTGCAGTGTCATAAAAGAGTTTTAATCAGTCAAAAGTACTGATTTATGAAATTGTCCCATTGATACCTGGGATAGGTTTCTTGTAGAATTAATTAATTTAAAAATGAATTGAATTCCTTTTAACTTTTAATACTTTTTTCTGAAAAATTTAGAACTTGTAAAGGGGAGAGTTTTTTCCTAACTTGCAGTGTCTGGGCAATTCATACAAAGAATTAAGTAAAAATGTACTGGTATTGTCCTTTGTATAGATCCAAGTGAATATAAAAATGAAATGACACCTTTTACTTTATTTTTGTAGAGTAGATTTTTCAGCATATGCTTAAATGAAGAGGTTTTGAAGCAAGGGCTTGGCAAAACAACACGTATTGAAGGACTGCATCATGGCTCTCAACTCTATTGGAAACTTCACAAAAGATTTCTTCGAGCAGAACTAACGGCAGTGAAGAAAAATAAAGGAATATGGAAAGAAAGTAGTAACCTTGAAAAAATCAGAGATCAAATAAGTAGTAATAAATTTGTACAGATGTTAAAACAATTTGCAGACTGGTTAAGAAGCCATATTTAAAATATTACACAGGAAGAACCAGTTGGGAAAATGCCAGTAGGATATTGATCAAAGTCCGTTTTGTAGGTATAAATGCAACACAGAAGCTTATGAGAGAAAACTTATTCTCTATTTTTTGAGGCTTCTTCCCCAATTAAAAAAACCAAAATAATTTAAGTAACCTCACCTGAAAAGACATTTCTATAATGTTTTGTATAAGATTAAAGTTCAATGTAAAGATATTTGTTAAAGTGTTTTTTAGGTCAAGATTAAAAACAAACAAACAAAACTTCCTTTAGACTGTTAGGTCAGATTTTCAAAGGTACTAGACTTCTGCACAGGTGCAATAGTCTTAGTGGAATTTGTAGAAGATTACAAATACAAGATATTTCAGAAATATTAGTGCATACTATACTCCTTAATTACACAACAGTGAAATAGATTTGGAAAAAGAGTCTACCTGAAAAGTGAAATTTAGTTCTAAGTAACTCTTGACAATACTACTTTTTGCTTTTTTGCATTTGTGTTGCACATGAGCATTTGCCTGAGTCCCGCACAAGAGAACATATGCCCATTTTGTATTATTTGTGTATTTTTTTAAATATGTACATATTGAATAACTAGTTATACTATATTGTTAATAGAAATGTGACGACAGCTTTTCTTAAAAAGAAGTAAAAAAGCTTCTACCTCAAGACTTGTAAAAACTTAACTTGGAAGCAGAATTATGAGCAGAAGTTAGTATATCAGTGGACTACTTGTTAAACTGTTTCTTTACTTTTAGCACAGCAGGTTAAACTGTTAGTTACAGCATTTACAGCTTGTAAATAAGGAAAGAGAACTAGCTATCTTTTCTTTCTGTTTCAGCTATGAAAGCACACACAATTTTAATTTAGCTCCTCAACTATCTCATCACTCAAATAAGATTTTGAAACTCAAGTTTAAAAGGTCAGAGTATAAAAATGCCTTAAATTGAAAATTCCTGATCTATATCTATAGACTTTAAAAAAAAAATACAATATATTGAAAGTGTATGTTAAGTATATCACTGAAGGTATCATAAGTGTATTTGAAAATATGTCGGAATGAAGTTTTGGGTATAGTGTTATGATTATTGTTTTACACTCAAGTTCATAGGTCTGTGTTCATCCATGATATTAAATAACATACAATAAGCTTCTTATTCTTCTCCATTCTTACATTTAACTACAATTTCTTTAAACTTGAGATTTGTTTTGTTAACATGTTGCTATTCCAAATAATAAATATTTAAATTAAAACATACAAAGCAAATCTTTTAAACTCTTTCCTTCCTTACTTTTCCATGTGGTTTCTTGCTATTCAAATATTGGGAATGAGTAGTATAAATGCTAGTTAGCTAGCTAAGCTTTATTCCTCTTAAACTTGGCTGCTATCATGCCATCCTTTTCCCCTGGCTAGAAAGCAGTTACAGCTTTACAGCTGCTGAAGAAGCATCCTGTGGTAGCTTCAATAATTAGCTAGCAATTTCTACAGAAGGCTTAAATATGGGGGGAAAGTAAGGTATAGCCAAAAAATCCCCACCATTTTTCTTTCAATATTTAGCATATGTGAGGTTTTTATGATCCTGATTACTAGTTTTCTTTTGTCTAGAACTGGCAAATTAGTGTTAGCATAGGATACATTCTGTTTCAGAGCAGGATAGGCTGGTAATTCCAGGATATATATAGAGAAAAAAAAGACCCAACTTTTTCTTTAAATCTTGTCATTTTAGCTGTTACTTGAAATGTGGCATGTTCATGTAAAATAAAAGATTGCAGTATACCTGATAGGTTGAATGGGACTTGAAATAGTATATTGTATGTATATTTGGCAAAATTCTATGTATATTTGGCAAAATTCTGTTCTAAAAAAAACCCAATATAAATTGCTGTGCTTGAGCTTTAATATTTGTGACTTTTTCCCTGGGACATATTACTTCAGCTTTCCTATTTTTGGAGATCGTGCTTGTGTTAGAATGAATTGTAAAGGAATTTGTATTGGTTGAACATTCAAACAGAGGTAGGAATATAAATATAGCCATAAATACTATATAACCTGCTTTCTATGCCCAATTTTCTGACCAACAAGATTAAAAGTATATGATAAATGGGAGTGTAGGAAGTTTTATCTTTTACAATTACTTCAGCTTTCCAATGATGTCATGAAATACTTTAAAAAAGAATCTCCCCCCCCCCCCCCCTTATTCTGTCCAAAACAGTACTTGTGTCATGGTACTACCTGCCTCATACCCATGTAGAATTCCTACTAACAACATCTTAATTGCACAGATTTTAGTTGTCTGAACCAAAACCATTGAAATTCTGGCTTGTACTGCCCTTTAATTTAACATTTTTATATGAACTGTTCCTTATTCCCAAGTCGCTGGTTCCTGTAATAAGGTGACAAGAAGCTTTGTGGCCTCAATTTTAGACTTTTCATCATAGCAAGAGGTCAGAAAAAGAAGTAGGAAGATGGGGGCGGCAAGTGATTTCCTCCCCCCCCCATTGGTTATTTTTCATTATTTTCCATTTTTTAATAGCCCTTTTGCCCAGGAAAATTTCTGCCCAATAATCAGATTGTATGTATAATGCAATAATAAGAATAATGATAGTATTAGGTTACCTGTACCTCTCTAGCAGGAACATACCACACTTCACTGCTGAGCCCCATGTAAACTCATGGTCTCAGGAATAATTCTTTTTTACTCTGTCACTTATGTATTTTTTTCTTCTTCCTTCACTTGCCATTTAAAACCAGCTTTTCTAGACTAAAACATAATTATGCATATCTATATATGGCTTTTAATGGGACTCCTCACTGCTGTGTTTTGAGTGCCTCACAAATGCCATCTGTGTGTTTCAGTGGGCTCATCTACAAGAGACGTACTGTGGAGTTGCCTAATTAGCTCCGCAATAAATGTCTTGGTGTCTACAGGTGCAGGGCTATTAGGTGGGAGTAAACTTATAAACTTCGCGGCAGGGTAGTACTTGTAAATATAAGTACCATCCTGCTGTGGATTTGTTTAGTTTGCAGCACCACCTATGTAAATGCTGACTCAGCTGGCTGGGGCATGAGGGTGCTTCAGTGCAGGGGCTGCCTTCTGGGTAGTCCTGCACTTGAGCACCCTTATGCCCCAGCCAGCCCCTCTGCAATACATTGAGTCAGATCTGAGCAGCCTCAGGCTATCTAACCTCTTGGGCCCCCTGCCAGCTGGGGCTACTCTGGCCCAGCTCAATGTGCTGCAGTCCTGGGTACACATGGAAATGTGTTGCCCGAGAGCAATAGACTCCTATGCAATATGTGCTGGATTTTATTGCATTGTGTTAATATGCATCCAATCAGTATTACCCCTATTTTACAAGTGAAATGCAGGGCAAGAGTGAGTGGCTTGGGCAATGGCTGATAGAAAGTTCGTGTCCCTACTGAGAACGGACTCTAAAGGTGAGATTTTGTTGCATTTCACAGGTACAGACCAAAGAAACTTAAGCCACCTTTGACCCTTTCGTATTCTTGATTGCTTCAAAGGATGGAGCACTACCACAGCACAAGTTAGAAAGTTCCCCAGAGCTGCTTAAATTACAGCGTGTGCTGTCCTGTGAACCACAGCACTGTTCCTAGTGTAGCCCGGGTATACCCAGGGGGGTGTGCCCTGTCCTCCAATGACAGTGGTAGTGGTCAGGCAGGGGGCTGAGGAAGGAGTCAGCTACTACAGCAGCTTCCTCCCCTCTCTATAGAGCTAGGCTGAAACCAAGTACTTAACTATGTACAATTTATAACAAGAATCAATACCAACACAATATAAAACACAGAATATTTACAAAGCTTAACATATAATACTATATATAATATTCCACAATTCACATATAATACCAAATATGAACCAAATAACTTACAACCTATACAACACAATTAACACATAGGGATATTAACCTATGTAACCCAATTAAATTAACAATAATATTTCTTTAAACCTTCACAAATAACAATACCAATAAAACACACAAACCATATATAAACCCCCTTAAAGAATACCCCTAGCTATGTAGCCCTTAACACGACAGCCTCAAAATAGGGAGTGCGCTCAGCACTTCCCTGAGGGGTTTCCCTGAAGCCCATCCCCTTTAGGGCCCTGGGACGTGGACATGTCCCTCCCACAATGGAGGGTGGAGGCAGCAGACCCTCCTCACCTGTGTCAGCTTCCCCAGTAACTCATGCTTCCTCTCTGGAGAAGTTGAGGTTCATCCCATGGTGGCCAATTTCCCCAGCAGTGCCTTCGGCTCTCCTTGATGGCCTGGCACCCCGCACTGGGTAGCCAGGGCTCCCTGTCATTGACGCTGAACCCTTACAGGCTCCGGCTCCCTGGTCTCACACCAGGGGTTCTCCCCTTTCCCCGGCCCTGCTCTGGGCACTGGGGCTCTTTTTGTTAAAGGCAGAGCTGCACCGCAGGGCTCTAGTCACTCAGCCTAGGGCCAGGACTAATGTGAGCAGCTGCAAGCTGCTTCCAAGGCAGTTCTCCATGCGCTGATCCATGCACTAGGTGAGGCCTGAGCAGCCATGTGCTGCTCCCAGGGCCAGCTTTCTGTGTGCTGATCTGCACATCAGCTGCCCAGCCACTTGCTGGGTTCACAGGCTCAAGCTGCCTCAGGCGGCTCATAGAGCATGATCCCTGTGTGCCGATTCGCGCATCACTGAAACTCAAGCAGGGTCCCAGGGATGGCCATCTCTGGAGCTCCTCTCTCCTCACTGTCCCAAGTCATCTTTCCCGGGGGTGCTGAGCACACTCCCCTTTTATAACCTTTAGGGGCTCCACCCCCGAAGTTCTCCGGACCTGGCTGGTGCAGGTCTGGTTCAGGGCCACCTGCTCCTTTCCCAAGGGCAGGGCATTGCTTCCTTTGTGCTGCCTCCGGATTGGTGGGCGGGCTCCACTAATCAAACAGCAGACCCTTGATCCTGGGACTCAACCCAAGCCCCAAAAAGGTAAGCCTGCTACACTAGCATGCTACCTACACCATGACTGATGAGATGGTTCTTTGGTGGGAGCCTTGGGGTCGCCTCTACTGCAGCATCTTGGTGGAGGAATCATTCTCCTAGCCAGAACTGGGGGATTTAAATTTCACTTACACCTTGTCTTGTCTTTTGAGTTTAGTCCAGGGGCAAGCAATTATTTTGGGCAGAGGGCCACTTACTGAGTTTTGGAAAGCCATTGAGGGCCTCATGACAGGCAGCCCAGGGCAGATTAATATTAATTTTCTACATTTTTTAGGGGCCCCGTGGGCCAGATAGAATGGCCTGGCAGGCTGCATCCGGCCCTTGGGCCGCATTTTGCTCACCCCTGGTTTAGTCTCTTCTCTATACCTCTTCTTTTGTCTGTTGACTGAAATCAGAGATAGAGGTATGCTAGATATGCAGCAGTGGACCCTAACTCAGATCTGCAAGATGAATTCAATGTAAGAGATCAAAACTGTAACAAATAGCTGTTTTTATTTGTGCTTAACTGCATGGCTTATAAAGAGTAATGTAGCCCAAAGGATATCCAAGGCTGTATTTTCATTTAGGGGATTCTGGCGGCAACAGAGTCCACAAAAGACAAATCCTGTAATTGTTTATGTTAATGATATTTTTCTTATCATTCAGGACTTATCTATAAAAAAAATCTCCATTCAGGGAAAAAAAATAGCCATGGCCTTTCATGCTGTGCAATCTTGAAAGGTTGCAGATCTTGTCTCTGTGGGAGGCCTATCTATTCAGAAGCTGATAATAGAGGAGAAACAAACAGCTCTGCAGAAGTAAGTTGTGGAGCTGACTGGGAGGTAGGGGGGAAGATAACACTTTTTGCATATGCCAGTATGTTGTATTGTAGCTATGAGACGATCTCTTCCTTTTCCCACTGCCACAGTAGTGTTGCACATGATGAGACTATTTCCAGATGAAGTACCTGCATGAACAGGGATGCGGTAAGGCATAAGACAAAACCATGTGAGCCCAGCAGGGCTATTAGGTTGGAGGGTCTCTGAAAGTCTGTATACATTATAAACAAACCAAGCCCTTAACAGGGAATGGAAGTTGGAGAGATGCCGCCAAATGACTGTTTAAAAAAAATCTTCAGGGCTACATGGCCCCTTTACTGCCATAGAGGGTATTAAAGCGCAAATGGCTGTCATAAACAACTCTCCCTGGCAACCATTCCCAGCTCTTTCAGGACTTTTCTAGCAACTTTGGGCCATAGACAGAAAGGACTTTAAAGGGGCTAATAATAAAGCTGCATTATTAGGGGGCCTCACTGCACATGTGTCAATGAATATCCTTGATTTAACCCTTGTGAATGTTATGCCGTTTTCTATGCATACCCGATGCTGTATTCTCAAACAGAAGAAGAAAGAGACAGCAAGAAAATGTCAACCTTACACAAGAGTGAAATGAAAAAAGCTGAAAAAGGAGTCTGATTTTCTCATGTTCTCTCTGGCTAGTAGAACCCACACAGATTCCTTTAGATAGACTCTTCATACCCACTGGAGAGATCTCAAGATATAAAAATAAATTACTACACTAAAAATAGGGATTTGCTGAATTTGGACTCTCTTCATTGTGGGGCTCTTGGAGTCAGAGGGAAACTCAAAAGGTTGGTGAAATATCATAGATATTCCATGTCACAGGGGCATCATATTCATGTTGGTGACATGGCCGAATTCTATGTTCTGTTACCATTTGGGGACTAGTAGAGTGTGGCCATGTGCCTCTATGCCTTCTCCACTGTAAATGTCTCTCCCTGCATTGAAAACTTACATTAAAACAGAGATTCTGCACAATGGCTGTATATACACGTGCTGGTTCATGTTCTAATCAGTGAACATGCCAGTGTAAGTGAAACACACCAGCATCACCAGCACTGCCTCATCATCGTTTTTAACCCCGTGGGTTTAAAAATGACCACTGGAGTGCTTGATCTAAATCTCAACAAATGAGGCTTAGAAAAAGCATCCTGTGGCCATTTTGAAAACTGTGGGGGCTTAATACATTTGACAGCAAGGAGTTTTAATTAGAGTGGCTCTCCAGGACCGGCTCTAATTAAAAGCTGCCCCCTCCCCACCCTGCCCCACCCCCTCCCCTACAGCACATGGAAAAGGCAGCCAATGTGACTATACCGCAACCCCCCCCAACTTTGGTTCTGTTCTAGGATCATAGGCAACATGTGTGTGTGGGGGAGTACAGGGGCATGTGCCCCCCTGCCCCCCCAGATTTCTGTGCTGATGGTGTGGTGTGGGGCTGCAGCCCAGCTTGATCCAGTGCCTGGCAGTGCCACAGAGTTGTGCCCTCCCACCGTCAACACTTGTGCGTCATCCATCCGCTGGTTTGTTTAACTGGTTGCAAAATATGGGCCAAATTATGGCTGCCCATGGGTAAATGTGTTTGGAGTGAGAGTGTACATGGAATCTCTTTACCCCTCTGGCCAATACACACAGAACATGACTATTGTGTTGCTTGTATTGTTGCTAGTACTCAGGAATGAAATACCAGATGGGTGTATAGTAAATGTCAGCAGAGTGGTAGCCATCTTAGTTGTGTGGTGGGTGTGTAAGAGCAGAATGGGTGAGGGCTCCTGCCCGTGTGTGGGGTTCCAGCTGCAGCTCCTGGGCAGGCAGAGTGGGTGGCAGCCAGCCAGGAGCTAGAGCTGGAGCCGTGCATGCTGGGGCAGGAGTTTTGGTGAGTTCTGGTGGGGGGTGCTGACCCAGCCTGTGATAACTCTTGAAAACTCCCTATGTTGTCCACCCCTAACTTAGGAAGAGGCTGAAAAGCGAGGGAAAGCAGCATGATGACACCAGTTTTAGGCTGATATTCCTTCATTGACTTTAGTGGAAAATTAATCCTGGGATGTGAAAATCCAAAAGAAGAGATGTGAAAGAGAAGAATACAGCTACTCCTCACCTAACATCATAGTTACGTTCTAGAAAAATGCAACTTTAAGCAAAACTATGTTAAGGGAATCCAACTGTGTCACAGTAGTTACCTACTAGCAGGTGGCGGCCAAACAACGTTATAACCAAACATTGCGTGACTTTAAATGAGTATGTTCCCTAATAGATCAGCGACGTTATAATGAAACAATGTTGACCGGGACGATGTTAAGTGTGGAGTACCTGTATAACATAATAAAAGAACACAAGAGAAATTAGGGGAAAGGAAAAAATAATTCAACTGAGAGAGAGAAAGATAGCATGAAAGAAAAAAAGGTCGAAAAGATATGGCTTCATCACAGTAACAATTGCTTTTTCATATATTTCTCATATTACACTGTATTTTAGGGACAGCTCTAAAAATGACATGACTGATAGATTTAGATTTTTTTTCAAAATTACATTTGATCCTGTTGGTGTCTCTGCTTCCCCTTTGTGACTCAGAAGGGAGACACCATATTTTATTAAATTACATCAATACATTTAAAGCCAGCTCAGTTGACAAAGTTCAAGCAGCAGGTGTAGCTGATAGGAAAGTAATTACTGGCACTGTCTGCTGATGGACTGAAGAGCCATCCATCCAGAAGTACCAACCTTTATTTTCCATGCATTTGCCATCTGTTATTGTGCTAGAAGCAAATAATAAATTATATATTGATATGTTTCTATTCATGTTCTTTGGGTTTTTAGGTGCCACAAACTTCCCTAGTGTTTAACATACTACTGAGGTTAGGATAAAGTTTCTTTCAGTTGGCCCATGATGCTTTGCTGTGAAATTGCAATAGCCTCTGCCGAATTGACTGACACCAATGGGTTGTTTCTATGGTATCAGCCAATCAGCTGCTGGACAGAGATGAAAAGGTGAAACTTAAGATGCTGCTGCAAGAGGTCACATTACTCCCCCCTCAGCTCCCCTCCTCAGATCTGTCTCCCGGCCTGACAAATTGAACTGACAATAATGCTCTTACAGCCCATAAAGTCCAGAGAAGCGTTAGCGTGTCTTTCAGTTCGAGAGCAGGAAAGAAATTAAAACTTAATGACTTCGTCTTGGGATTTTAGTATGGTAGAAATCTACTGTTTGACGAATCCTCTGTTAGAAGAATGATATAATTATTCCATATAGTTGTAGGGGAATGTGCTGAGTGTTCAGCAGAGGGTTGATCATCTCTATTTTATGGGATCCTAGAGAAAAAAAAAACGGTTACAAATTTTAAAGGCAAGAAAAAATTCTTCCTTTTTCAATGGATGGTGAAACTGAAACTGCTTCTCCGTGTAATGGGAATTGCAATATTACTGTTACTCATTGTGACAATGTGACCCCAACTTTCGGAGATTTCTCTTATTGGAGGAAAATTTGAAATAGAAATTGAATGAAAAGCTGCTTCTACTCCCATAGACTTTGAACTAGCAAACAATAGGGGCAGGTTGAATAGAAGCAGAGGCAAGAATACGCTGGAATACCTGGTGCTGGATCAGCAGCCTGTTCCAGAGGCCTTGGGTAAAGCAGGAAACCAGCTCCTGTCAGAAAAGAGGAACCAGCTTCATGTACTATAAGCATTCAAAGTGGACTCTCCAAAAGGTTTCCACAGAGCTTGCTTCCTTTTTTTGCAGAGAAGGCAATTCAGACAGGCATGCAAGGGTCCCAGTGAAGCAGGATCCCAGAAATTCGGCTGTATAAATGTGCCCCAAGGTGACAGGGAGCAGAACAGCAAGGGCACCTAAGTGCCCTCCATTAGACACCACAGAGAGGAAGTCTCCTGGCAGACAGGGATCATACAAGGGCCAATGGACACTGTCCAGTGTGCTCTGCTTGGAGCCCTCTATCGGTCCTCCCTCGGTTTGAACCTTCATTCCTGTCCCTATTTTCTTCTTTAGTTGTCCCCCATAGTCACTTGAGTGGGCCCCCAGATTAAGGGGGGCTTGTAGCTTTACTTGGCGGGCAATGGCCCATGTTCCCAATGCACACCACAGTCCTGGCATGCAGGGAGAGCAGCAGGGCTCCGTCCTTTCGCCCCTCTCACATAGTAGCATGCAAGGCTCACAGTCTGGGCTCAGACCACCTGATGGTAGGTGCTCTGGCAATGTCTTTGGCCCTGGAGCTGCCTGGTGTCTCGCGAACAGACTGGTGCAGGATTCACTGATCCCAGTCAGCTCTGATTTCCCTGGTGCTCTGTGCCTGAGTGGAGGGTGGGGTGCGGTGGGATGGCTGTCTCCTGGACCCAATGCTTCCCTCCCTGTTGGTGACATAAGCCTCCCATTGCCTGTCTCTGGAGGGTTGAGGAGCTCAGGCTTCAGATCCCCAGCGCCTGCACGTCCCTTAACCGTCCTCAATGTTTCTAGAGTCTAGGCGCCCCTTGTAAGACTGGGGGGCTCCCTTGATGGGTTGAGGCTCCCCTCGGAAAATGCCAGCTCTTACTTTTCACTCCGTGTTTTCTGACTGCAGGAGGACAGTAGCGCCATTCTGCCCTGGCAAAGACCCCAGGACCAGGGCAGGATGTCTGAACCCTGGGGCTTCCCGTGGGCAGCCTGCGGCTCCTGGCTGCGCGGCGCCGAGCGCACATGGCCTGCCCCCCTGAAAGGCTCTCCAGGCGCCTCCCGGGGGAACAGCCCTGCCTTGCTCCCCGCCGAGGCAGAGCAAGGGGACTGCGGACCCTGCTCCCCGGGGAGAGGCCGGGGCCCTGGGCCAGGACCAAGGGAGGCAGCAGGGCGAGCG